CATATTTTTACTTTTCCTTGACTCAGAAACAAGAAATATTTTTCTAATTCCTGATATTTATTTTTTCCTAGTACAATATTTTCCAATGGCAAGTTTAGTCTTTATTTTGCAGTTGATTGAAAAAAAAAATAAAATAAAGCCAACATTCACAGCTTAGCCTGACAACTGCAGGCTCTTGTTCTTGTGGAGGGGACTGGGGTGGCAACATGGTGGTGGCACGAGTGATCCGGCTCCTTCTGTAGTACATCAAGGACAATTTCCTGACAGAAGTGCTCAACAAACCAAGTGGGGCTATGCTAGACATGCTGCTCACACGTCAGGAAGGGCTGCTGGGAACAGTGACACTGGTGGCAGCCTTGGCAGCAGCGACTACAAGATAGCAAAGCTTAAGATTCCGAGGGAAGTGAGGAAGATAAATAGTTGAATTGCAACCCTGGAATTTAGGAGAGCAGACTTTGTCTCCTACAGACATTTTGTTGGCAGAATCACACAGAAGACTGCCCTGATGGGCTCAGGAGAGCCAGCTGGAGCACGGGAACAGTCCATTCTGATCTACCCGAAGTTGAGCAGATACGGGAGAAGGCAGCATGGCTGAAGGGGGAGCTCCTGACTGGAGGCAGATGCAAAAGGCAGGTACACAGACTGTGGAAGTGGGGTGGGCTACCCTAGAGGAATACACTGCCTAGGCATGCTGGAACAGAACTAGGAAAGCCAAAGCTCAACTGGAGTTGGAGTACGTGAGGGATGTGAGGGACACTTTCAGTACATTAACATTGAAGGGTAAGTAAAATGTGGCCCCCCACTACACGGGGTAGGAAACCTGGTGACAGAGGACAGGGAAATGACTGGGGTACACTTGTTGCTGCCTTTGCTTCAGGTTTTAAGTGGACAGGTCTGTGCTCAGAGCTTTGGGCAGAGTCTAGGTGCCTAAGAGGAAGCCTGAGTTAAGGACTGCTTACCCTGGATCTATAGCAGCCCATGGGAAAAGCTGGGCCTGTTTCAAGGATGCAGGCTCATACCATTAGAAGGCTGCTCTCACCCTTGAAAGATCATAAACAGGGTACAGGAGTTCTAAGGACTGGAAAAAGGCAAATGCAATGTCCCTTTTCAAGAAAGACCCAGGGAACTACAGGCTGCTCAGCCCAGGCAGATTATGGAACAATTCTCCTAGAAGCCATGCCTGGACAACTTGGATTTACTAAGGTCTAACTTTGCCTGACCACCCTGCTTCCTCTGTGTGATGAAATGACTGCTCTCAGGTACTGAACAGAGAATGTTGTCTGACCTTAGCAAGGCTTTTGACACTATCTGCTCTTGTATTCTTACAATAAACTGGAGAGAGCTGGACTCAAGGTGGGAACTATGAGGTGGCTGGAATATCAGCTCAGCAGCTGGGCTCAGAGGGGTGAGATGGGCTCTTGGAAGTCTGGTTGTTGGTTGGTACTGGTAACATTCCTCAGGGGTTAATAATGGGCCAGATAATGCCAAAGGGCTTCATTACCATCCGAGGCATTGGGATGGGTGGAGGTTTCAGGGAGGTGATTGATACAGCAGGACCAGGGCTGTCCTTCAGAGGGAGCTCAACAAGCTAGAAAATTAGGCTGGCAGGAACCTCAGTAGGTTCACCTAAGATAAACACAGAGCTCCACACACGGGAGAGAGGCATAACCCCATGTCATGGAACAAGCTGGGCGCTTACTGGCAAGAAAGCAACTCTGCAGAAAAAGGGACTGGTGGACAAGCTGAACATGAGTCAGTCAGGGAACTGAACGCTACACAGCCTGAGCTTCAGCAGTCTGACTGCTATCTACGTGTCTTACAAACGCAGGCAGCAGTTGGAGGGAATGGATTGTCACCCCTGTTTTGGCACTCGTGAGACTGAATCTGCAGAACCGTGTCTGATTTGGGCCTGCGATGCGCAGGACTCAGCCTGGGAACTGAAGTGAGTCCAAGTGGAGCGCTGACGGAGGATCAGTAGCTGGAGCATATCAAGTAAAATGACACGCTTCAAAAAAGTGTTTTGCTCCGTGTTACAAGAAGAAGATTAAGAAGGAGAGAGGGATCTGAGTGCTGCCTTCAGCTACGAGACGTGTGACTGTAGGAAGGATGGAGCCAGACGCTTCTAATGGTACAGAACAAAATGGCAAGAAGCAGCAGAGATAAGGTAGAGCAAGGGGAATTCTGATCATTGTCTCTGAAGAGACAAGGCAAAAAGTCTTTGTCATGTAGTCAAGCACTGGAACAGGGACCAAATGATGCTGTGGAATCTCCATCCTGGAGATAGTAAAAACTTTACAAGTCTGTGAACAACCTGAGCTATCTTTGAAATTAGCACAATTTGAGGAGGGAAGGGGGTGGACCACATGATCTCCAAAGGACCATTCCAACCTAAATTATTCTGCAGTAAAAACAACCAAAAAATGGTTCTGGCTGTTGAGATAATTAATACCCAGAAGCTCACTATTTCTGCAGTTAAGCACTTTCCTTTATAAATGTATAGTGTAAAATCCCCTGGCAAGGAACTCACCTTGAGGACACACAGAGGAAAGGTGCAGTGGAGCTGTTCCACAGCAGCTCCAGAAATGGCAGGACCCAACCCCTGCAGCTCACCCTATGCCCCTAGCACAGAGTCCTTTCTGATGTCCATGCCGAGGGGGAGCAGAGGCAGGCAAAGCATTAAAGGAGCTGCTCTCACCAGCTGTGTCACAGGAAGCATGTGGTGGACCTTTCCTATCTGTATTGCTCCTTCTCTCCCCACAGCCCCAGACATCAGTCTTCTGACACTCCCATTTGGAAGAACATGTCCATCTGCCTGTTTTCCCCTGCAAGACAAATGCTTGTTCTGCAATCAGCTTCATAGCTGACCTGCAGTCCCTGTTCCTCTTCATTACAACCCATAAGATTCCAGGTAGTCTATTTAGTCCTATTAAATTAGATAAAAGGCTTAAATTACTAATGATATTCTGTAGAAGGCTCAGCTTCTGTCACAACAGGTATTAAGTCTTTCAAACAAATTCAATTTATATAACCAGGACATTTTAAACACATGAAGACAATTTGGTCATTTAGTTCTTTACTAAAATTCATTTAGTAGCATCACTATAATGGAACCAGAATACTCTCAAATGTTTGTCAAATCCTGTTTTTCTCAGTCACCAAAAGTTCAGTTTCTCTTAGAATAGTCCATGTGAGCTTCTGAAAAATTATCCTAAAGTCTCACACTTCTAGGATTCATATATATAGCTGATACTATCATGATATGAACTGAGGATAATAATTTATTAATTAAATAATAAATACATGATTCATTATCAAAACATTTTTTTCAAGGCAATAAATTGTGCTTCCTTAACAGTGAAATAGAATTTAAAATATATATATTTCTAGTTGTAAATCAAATCAGGGTTTGCTCTGCTTAGTGATATTTTTGAACCATTCCTCAGAGAAACACACTTAAATCTGTAATTCCTGTGTTTATTCTTAAAATTTCAGCCTTCAACATACGTGTTTCATACTGGTTATTTTTGTTGACTACTAAAGGAGAAACATCCTTTGCCAAATGCTGTTTTCCCTACCCCAAACACTGACCTACCTACCTACCAATCAGGCTTTCACTCGCTCCTTCCTCTCCTGTCAATCTTTCTATCCTTAGGTTCTCATTTTAAGAAAATATTTTCCATGTCTTTATTTATTCACTGCTGAATTTCTTGTTTGTACTTCTCCACACTTCAATCTGCACTTTCTCTCATAGCTCTTTTTCATTAAAAAAATTTGCTAATGCTTTGCAAACTCTGTTGAAAGGCACAGAAAAATCAAATGCAGGAATGGATTCAGTAACTATGAAATGTATTCCCTAGGAAAAGGAAGTTTCCATCAATGCCAGGTAGCTGTTATAGGAGGTAACTGTTAGAAACCTACACTTCCCCTAGCCCTAATCAAGACTCAGACCATGCAGCATAATCAGTTTAAAATACTAGTGAATACAAACAAGGCTTGGCTGTACAATCTCTGCAGTTTTGGATCCTGCCTTTCTTCCAGTTTATCTAAGAAAATAAAAAGTGAATTCTATAATGTCTCGAGATGTTTTAGTTCTGCCAAATAATTAAGTATTTATAGGGCTAGACTTTTCACAGAAATACCATTCTTTAATATTCGCTCATTTATCATCTGGTTTTATTTGATGGCAAATGCTTATACCATTGTAGATTTGCTTGATTTTGGACACTCGATTATCTTTTTCCTATTCACACTGGTTAGTACGATCAAGAGCTTCCATGATGTCTCTTCTCTGCACAGGCTGTGCTGCAAGCCTCTGTAATGATTTTTAAATGTAACCCTCTTACTCTTGAATTGTCAGGATTGAAAGGGACCTCTGGAGATCATCCCGTCCAAGCCCTGCCAAAGCAGGGTCACCTGGAGCAGGTGACACAGGAACGCATCCAGGTGGGTTTGGAATGTCTCCAGAGAGGGACAATCGATGACCCTCCCGAGCAGCCTGTTCAGTGCTCTGCCATCCTCGAGGAAATGAAGTTCTCCCTCATGGAACTCTTGTGTTTCAGTGTATGGCCATTGCTCCTCGTCCTGTCGCTGGGCGCCACCGAAAAGAGTCTGGCACGATCTTCTCGGCACCAGCTTTGAGATATTTATATGTATGGACGAGATCCCCTCTCAGTCTTCTCCAGACCAAACAGACCCTGAACACCCCCGTACATATTAAAAAACTACCGCGCTAATTTGCTGTCCTCACGAACTAACGCAACCGCGGAGCCCTCACCCCTCGGCAGCGGGGAGTGTCTGTTCCGGCGGTACCGTGACGACATCCAGGAACACCAGTGTTCGCTTCCCGCCGGCCTCGGCGGAGCCGCCTCCCGCCCGCGGCCGGAGCTGCCTGAGGGAGCGCCCGCCTGAGGGAGCGCCGGCCCCGGGCCCGGTTCTGTGGGAGCTCCTCTGCCCGTCGAGCCCGCCCCGAGCCCGCCCCGGCCCGCACAGCCCGCCGGGCCCGCTGCCCCTCACGCCGTGTCCGGCCCCGCGGGATGGCGGCGGGCGAGGAGCAGAGCCGAGAGTACCTGCGGCGGCACCGGCTGCCCGAGCTGCTTGCAGCACCTCGGAGCGCTGCTGCTCTTTCCACCGCCCCGGTGCGGCTCCGACCGCGCGGGGAGGGAGCGGGGCGAGCGGGGCGGCGCGGCCTGAGCGCCCCGGCTGAGGGCCCCGGTCTGACTTGGTTGCAGAAAAGCCACGCGAGTTCCTGATCCAGGCGCTGGAAAGGGTGAAGGCTGGCAGGCGGGCCGAGGGGGAGTACCCGGACCTGATGGACGAGGCCAACGTGGAGGCCATGTTCGGCCTGCTGGATGTGCTGGGCCAGGGCCACATCACGCCCGTGCAGTACAGGGAAGGTGCGTCCCCCCCGAACCGCAGCTCACACCAGGCTGCGCGGGGCTGGGCGTTTGTTTGCACAGAAGTAATACAATAGTTTCAGAGTTACACATCTGTATACTTAAGAATTACCCGCACACCTGCCCAGGCACAACCTTGGACGTGGGAAGTTAAAAAAAATTACACGTGAAATTACATGTTTGCCTTCTATTCGATCTAGGCCACATGAAGATGTTAAATCCATCTTTCAAAAACTCACATAGAACATTCTCTTTCCTTAACTTTAGCTCTTAAAACTTTGGGACTGAGCACTGAGGATCTGGAAGTTGGAGATGATGAAAATATCACACTGGAGGTATTCAAGGAAGGAGTGTAAGTTTAATTGAAAGTTGGTTTTTTGGAGGGGAGGATACACATAGGAGATATGTGAGATTTTACAAGGGCAGTTACTGCCTGACCAAGCTTGGCTTGCTATAAGATGAACCAAACTCCATTCTCCTCTACCAGATCAGTTTCAGTATCTTCTCCCAGGAGACCCCTCACCTTACCTGCCAGGGTGTTCCAATACTCATCTAGAAATGTGAAACAGTGAGGCACTGTTGTCTTCTTTGCCAGGGGTGGTATTACAGCTGTAGATTAAATAAGCTCAAGTTTTAATAATTTCTTATAGTCAAGATAGAGTTGTAGGGACAATTTTTAGTAACTTGCAGTCACTGAAAAGTAATGAACTAATTATCCACACTGTTATCTAACTAGAGGTTTTCTTTTTCTGCCTTAGGAAGAAAAGGATGCTGGAGAGCTGGGCTGTGTATTAGTTTGAGCAGTGGTCTGCAATATATACGAAAACTAGGCATCTTCCTCAGTTTTTCTTCTGGCTTGGCAGCTGTGGATAGCTGATTTTAAGCAGCATTCTTTTTCTTGTCTCCCCCCCTGCTTCAGATGAGCAATCAGCTGAAAAGGACAAATGACAAGAACTTGTTCGTGTCTACGAGGCACTGGAGGGATATTGTTTGAGAATTGCTTTTCTTAAGACAGTTAGATGGTTTAAAAAGAAAAAAAAAAAAAAAAGAGATCTCTTACGTAACTAAAATAGTGGTTTGGAGTTTCCTCCTTCAGGTTGCAGCTTACAGTACAGGATTGTTACCAGCTGGCTCATTACCACTGAATAAAATTAAATTGTTCTGGGGTCTTGTGCTGTGTTTTGGGTTTTTTTAAGGAAAAAGCAACTTCAACAAGTTACAATAAATGTCCACAGGTAAAGGTAGGCAGCACCTCCAAATAAAGTGCTGTTTTTAAACTTGCCACACAGTATTTATGTAGTTTTTAAGGAGAAACTTTTTAAAAAATTAGGAGAGACTCTCATACAGAAAAAAAAAATTAATTAGTATGAATGAAAAAAACAAAGTGACTTATTCCCTCCTTCTTTGAATTCTTTTTAAAAAATGTATAGAATAAAGCATAAGATCAGATTAAAACAGCTGTTCAGCATACAGAATTGAAAAAAATGACACAAGTATATTAAAAAATATTTGCTTTGGTTTTGTTTGGAATAAGTAATCTACACCAAGATATTAACCATTGCTGAGTAAGTCTTTATTTTCCTGTATTTGGCCAATTAGCTCTCAAATTGAGAAGAATCTCAACATCCTTTTGAACCAGTTTATAAACTCCAAGTTCATTTAGTGCTGCTGTTGCAGAGGGCTGGCTTGGATTTAAAGTTTCATTTTCTGAGGCTGATTGTAGGACATCCTTCAGAAGTAAGGCAGAGCCAACATTCAGATTCAGGATAATGCAGGCTTCTTTTATGCTAGAGAAAAAAGTTACATGGATCAATATAAGCAGATTAATATAACATAAGATAATCACTGTGTGCACAAATTGAAGTGTAACAAAAACTTCCATGTTCCATGTTGGTTTAAAAATATTAAGATTTCTGCCCCAGTTAGCCTAAGAGTTTGATGCTGGACTCTTCAGAAGACTGTGGGCTGTGTAAAAAAAGACTAATCACAAATGAGGTAGTAGATTCTCATCCATGACAGCAACTAGACTGCTACACAAGGCAGTTCTCAGCAGGAACATATTTTAAACTAGTCTTTCTTCGAACAGTAAAGTTTATTGTGTTGTAACTGTATCTTTGATTAGTTTCTTTGGCCCCCATTTCACTAGTCTGTGCTAGTTAATATTCCTTCCATAGGTTAATGTATCTAGACATCCTTACCGCACAGAATACCCCAGAACACATCACAATCTGTTGCTGAGTACATGCTTCAGAGTAAAAACTTTCCTAGTTGAAAACATCAAAGGCATAAACAATCCACACATTTTAAGTGTGGATCAAAACTAACTGTGAAAAAATCTTGGTCTTACATAAAACACGCATGTTATCTGGACACTCACTTCTGAAATACCAGTAGATCAGAAACAGCCTACTTACTGCTTGAAGTAGTTTTCTGGCCTCTTGCAGTAGTGTGAAAATAAAGGGAACAAATTTCTACTCATGTCAAACTGAAGTTGTGCTGCTCCTCCTTCATTGAAATGATTTGCCATAATTATCTACAAACACAAAGAGGTGCATCTGCTGTTTAAGCCAGTCACTGATAGTACATGGTACTGCACAGGTCACATTGATACCTACCTCCTGATAAATGTATAGATCCACTTTCTCTGCAAGCATTTGCCAGAAGATTTTGAACAGTGAGTGACAGAGCTGCTGTTCCAGTTGCAGCAAACGGTCCCGCAGGGTCTGCAACATGGGGCAGGCTGTGCTCGACAAAGACATCACTGCTTGCTCTGCCTGAGATGGTAAAGACAACCACCTGAAAGAAACCATTGCACTCAAGTCATTATAATGAAATTATTCATACTACAACAACTGAAAGTTAAAATTATCCTTTAAAAAAAAATCTTACCCATTTACAATGGTTCAGAGACAGTTCTCCTTTCCATTTCTAATCTACAAGTTATCAGTCTAATGCTATGTTTGAATTTCATTTAATATTAAACTCATGCTTTAGTTATAAATCTCTGAACATGTCACTCCAGGAAACCCCATCTAATCTGGAAATCATTAAATTCTATTCCTTTCATGAAGTACTTCAGAAATTCTACTCTGTAGGAAATATTCAAGAAGCTCTATGGGACTGTGAAGACAGAACAGTCATTACAGGCCATTTTGCATAAAATCTTTAACACCACAATGTATAAAATTATTCTCGTCCAAACTAGAGTGATCCAGAATTCTTCCTTTGGTTCTTAAGATAATGCACCCACTAATTGTGGAACTACTTTAGAAAACATATCATGAAAATAGTTCTAAGGTAAGTATTAATAGAATTTTTCAAAACTTACTACTCTGCAGCATTCCTACTCAGGAAAAAAAAATTCTACCTATTATCTATTCCTGCCTTTATTTACCTCAGTATTTTTAACAGGAAATAATACTGTAACATGGGAAGAGATTAAACAGACAAACACCTCTCTTTTTTGTACAGCTTTGCAGCATCTTTGACCTCCCTGAAGACATGATCGACTTGGCGGGTCAGCATGTCTTGCTTCAGGCGCTCCAGGAGGGTGATCATCTCGTCAAAGACAGAGCTCTCCATGGAGGCCAAATGCCCCAGCTGGAGCTGGCTGACAGCATCACTCTCTGCACGGACCTCCAGCTCGGCCTGCTGGAGCTGCAGGAAGAACTAGGCAAACAAAAACCAGGGAGGAACACTATAAAAAAGTAATCTTGCCATTTGAACTTTTCATTGGCACTTCGATAGGCACAGTTCTAGAAAACACTCTTCTGGCACATTTATAAACTTAAAAATTTAAGATTTTAAAACCACTTTCTTATATTTCCCTGTGGTCCTGATTTAGTGAAAAACAAATCATAGTGGTTTAATTCTAGCAATGGAATTGATATGGCTCCCAGATACAACAGCAGATAGGTAATGGGAACAGATCTAGAGAAAAACTAAAAAGATGTTTTAAGATTGATGCAGAATGCTATAAAAAAATACCTTGAACTTTTTAACATTTGCAAAAGTAAACTTTAATTAAATCATAAGTTTGCTGTGCTGACAACAGCAAGAAAACGGACTGAGTCCATTTAATGTGACATTGTGGTAACCAACAATGGTTACCACATTTTGGTTTGCTTTTAAGCAGATCAAGACACTGTAGCAGATGCAGTTATACACATGAAGGCTGCAGTCCTATCAAGTCAAGATTATCCCTTGCTAGAGACACAGCTTCCTGTGAAGACAAAAAGAATTTGGAGGCTACTGCCTACACTCCAACATCAGGGGCTGTTAATAGTGGTTCAGAGATCTCCAAACTCAAGAGTCTTTTACAATAAAAAGGCATGTAAAGGAGACTACTTTTTTTTTTGTTTTGTTGGATTATTCCATTCCTCAGGCTTGCTTTGCATTTCCCTAGGAAGTTTATAATTAACACAGCTTAGATCTCAAACAATAATCTGTCCTTGTTTATACATCTTCTATTAAATCTGAATTTACATCTCATTCTATTTTTTCTGTAATTAAATCTTCTGAATACACTTAAAACAGTACTGAAAAAAAAGTGTTTGTTATGAAATAAACATCCAAAGCCTATCTTTAGTGGTTTTTTTTCTAGTAGAACAATTACTTACTACATTGTCAGCCCAGTCTGCCAACACTGTGGCTATATAGTTAACAGCATTAAGGATTGCACAGTATCGGAATCCTAAGGAAGCTCTGGTCTCTTCCTTCATCACTTGAGTTAATCGTATCCTGAAATCATCAACTAACTCCTTCTGTAGGCCCAGGAACTGAAGTTTTCTGGAAGCTGTTGGAAGATTCTTATACCTGTCTGGAAAGACATTAACAAAAAAATGCTTTTAGGTTTTCCAACACTGAAAAAAGAAATATCAAGTCATGTTACTGCACCACCTTACGCCTGTGAGAACATTATACAGTATTTAAAAATAATGACATTTCAACAGTCTCAGGGAAACTACTCATGCAAAAGCTAAACATGGCAAGAAACGAGCAATGTGTGGCTATACTGCACCCTCCAGCATGGCCCCTAAAGCCTCCTCACACAGAAGAAGACAAAGCCACTGAATATATATATCCTGAAAACATACTTGATCTTATGTTCTCTTCCAAAAAAGCAGGTGTTACTTAATAGCTTCTAAACTGTCACAGATTGAAAAGGAACAGTCTGATTTATTACTGCATTGCAACAAATTATCTTCTGTCAAGTAAATGTATGTGTATTTTTAATTATTATTTTGCAAACTTGTCACTAGCTCAAGATTATTTGTGTGTGTTAGTGTCCAAAATACAAAACAAACAGGAAGCTTTTGTAAGCTGCAAACATCACAACTTTGCACCATTATTTGGTGACTACTGCTGACAATGAATATTTAGTAAAGAAATCTGTTAGGTGAAGGTTTTTTTACTATTCATTAAAACAACAGCAATGGCCAGAGATATAATTACCTGTTATAACTAACAAGAGAGTCATAAAAGTTTCAGCACAGTCTGGAACTTTCATTTCATCTACATCAGTGATATCTTTGTACTGTGATATCCATGCAGCCTCTGATGAAAGCATAGAGTCCATTTTCTGAAGAGCAACTGAGATGCACAAAACTTGTAAATTAAGTTTTTCATTTTAAAAAGATTCTAACAAAAGCCCCTCTAAAATACACAAACATAAAAGCCTTATTATCTCTAGTAAGTTAAATTTTGCATTTTCAGGTTATAAAAAATACTGGCAACTGGCTTCATACAAAACCAGTTTCAATGTATCTGTATTTACAATGCCATTAGCAGCTATGTCAGAGTTGACTGGGGCTTTGCTTTGGATTTTTAGTAGTTGGCTTGCTCCTTTCCAATATATTTCTTACTCATTTCTCAAAAACAATATCTTTCCCTTATATCAATTAAAAGTTCACCCTTGCCTGCACACACATAACATCTGTCTAAAAATAAGCCCACTTGATTCCATACAGCTTAGGGGGCAAGAGTCCTGCAAACTACAGAAGCACTATTAGAGCCTAATCAATTTTTATTCAGAATAATCACAGAGTATAAAAATACTAATGTTTTCTGTAGTAGCCCTGTCCAGGTGATTTATGCTATTTGAGAAGGCCAGTTGTGCAAGTTATACACGTACTTTCTGACTGTGCAATATAAAGGCCAACAAAATCC